GTTACTCTCAACAGGACTGTTAAGAACATGAGACAAGAAACAGGTGTGAGGATGCTCGCAGAGGTCTGGTCCTACTCTTTGTTTCAACACTTGAGCAGAATGAGGGCCTGGAAGCCTCAGGAGCTTTTCTGTGTTCATGTTTGAACTCAAACCCAGCACACCCCTCTCACTCAGAGAGAAAGAGGGGGCCAGGATATCACTGTGTTCTGGAATATGAAGATGAGAAACAACTGGCTAGTTCTCCTCAAGACATATAGACAGTTTCTATTTGGCAGATCACAGTATGACATACCAGGTCAAAATCATCTATTCTTATGCTTTACAGATTGAAAAGGGTCCTTTTCTGGGGGAGAACAGGGAGACAGAGCATCGTGAAACACACGAGGGCCAATGGGATTCAGGGAGACTCCCATGTAAAGTACTCTCCTATGGGCTGGCCGCGAGGGGCCACCTCATTTAATCCTTAGGACAGGGGATGTGGGGCCCGGGCTCTATCACTATTTTGCAGATGAGAAGACTGAGGTGTGATGACCCTAGTGTCTTCCCCAAGGTGTCTCTGGGTAGTCATTTGTGTTACTTTATGGCAGCCAGCCACCTTCAACATGAGGGGTGTCCTCTCGTCCCCGTCCCCCTTTCCCAGGGCCTACCTTGTTCCCTGAGTACAGATTCACTTCCCAGTCACCTGCACGTCACTCTGCTCACCTTCCATCAGGCACACAGGGGGACACCAGCTGGCACACACACCAGCACCGACATTTAATAGTAGTATTTTCCAACGGCCCACGACCTTTGAACTGACCGATATTTGGCAGCCCACTCAGTTGTCTGTAAAAGGCTTGCACGACTCTTTGGCAAACTCCAGCCACAAAAGTGAGTTTGTACCGTCCAAGGGAATGATTCGCACCATGGAAGGGAAACTTCATCCCGGCCCAAGCAAAGAACGAGGAAGATAAATCTTTAGGAAAAAAGAAATCTCCAAAGCCAAAGAGAAACTCATTCTTTTTGGATGATCTATCACCCTCCTCCCATAAGGCAGATCATTAGGGTTACCTGGAATCTCTAGTTTTACACCAGCGCCAAAAACTAGGTATTAATCTATTTTTATAGATGATGAAAATAAGCCTCAGAGGTTAAAAAACTTGCCCCGGCCCATCCAGGTGGTAAGTGCCAGGACTGAGTTTCTTCAAACTCACTCACCTTTGGTAAGGCACTCCCCTCCCGAGAAAACAAACAGCCGAGCAAAATGAAGGGGAAACACTCCTTCTCTTTGAGCGCATGATTAAAAACAGTTAAAACTTTTGGCTCAATGATCCAGCCTTCCACCTTTTTGGCTACCTACGGTGAATGTCCAAAAGGACAGTCATCCCACGTCCACATACTTTCTTACCTGCTGAGGTTCCGAATTCAGGTCGCTCCTCCTCCGTTGAGCTGGGCAGGCACAGCCTCACTAGCTTAATTAAGACTTAGCCTAGAAATAGGCTTTCTGAGGCCAGCGGTTTCCAATTTGAATCTGCACCAGCAGAACCGTGAGGGCTTGTTAAAGCGCGGGCTCTATGCACGGAGGTTTGGAGTCAGCAGATCTGGGCTGGGGGCTGAGAATCTGTATTTCTTTCATGTTCTCTGGTGATGCCGATGCAGCTGGTCTGGCTGGGGACCACATTCTGAGAATTGCTCTTCCAGACCCTCACTCAGATCTTGTCCCCGGGGGTCTACGTCTCCAGAAGCAGGAGGAGACAAGACAAATTCAAGGAAAGAGTGCTTCTGCATCAGGTCGAGAGCAGCTGGCCAGTGCCTCCCTCCCCGAGAGCCCTACTCAGTTCTTCTAGAACCTCCGAAGATGCAATGGGCCCTTCTGATTGACAGGCTACCCAGTCCCACCTCTTTGAACCAGACATCAGGAAAAAAGAAAAAAGAAAAAGAACATTGAAAGGACCATCTGAAGGGCAAATTAAGTTCCCCACCCCTCCCAAAGGGTACTTACTCCACGCAGTAGGAAAAAGGTGTTAACCTCCTTGCCCCTCCCCCAGAAACTCCACTCCTTAGCATCATGACCCAATTACTGATCTTCCTTTTTGTGGGGGAGCTGGATTCAGCTTAGATGTGTCACCATCAATGTTGACAGTCTCATGCTGTGTCAGACAAACTACATTTTGTAAAGACATTTATCACAAAATAAAGGAACTGATACACCTACTAAAAATATCCTCCCAGAAATCTTATTTGATCATCCCAGAGAAACATGCACAAAAACAAATCGACACCATCAACACATGGGAACTCCCAGTTCTTTTTTCTCTTTAGACTAATGGTTTCTGAAAGTGCTTTTAACCATGCAGATTAGAGAGGCTGGAGTCAATTCTGTAACATTTGATGGCTGCTGGGGTAACTATTGATTTTTTTTTCACCTCAAATGACACTCAATTAAGGAACATGGACAAATCATTACTGTTTCCAGCTTGAATGGTAATTTATAAAGTTTTAGGGGTTAGAACATAGGAAGTATTTTTAGCATGGAAGATGTGTTACAGGCTGGAATGCTTGTGGGAAATATCTCTTACATGAAGAATTCCTGCTCCAAAATGCCTTGATTAATTAACACAAACATCTTTGAGGAAAAAGGGCGCAGCATCTCATGTCTAGCAGGACACTGGCAGGGTTCTTTGGAAACTCCAGAGCAAGCCAAATGCAGTGAAGCCAGGCCTCTTGCATTCATGGCTGGTCCAGTTCCAGGGAAACGCCTTGGGCTTGGGAGAGCTCTGGAAAGGCTCTGCTCTAGTTGGCACTGAACCGAAGTCCATTTTGCCTTCTGCTCCCAGGTCCCCCGAGAGAGTGAGTCAGCCTCAGCGCCCTGGGGGTGTGAGCTGTGCTGAGCCCTGGAGGAACCACATCAAGAATAACCCCAGTGCTCTGCCAGTTCTTCACCCTGAGACTGTCCTTCCAGAACTCTACACTGGAATGAAGCCTTATGGAAAAGAAATACAGTATTTACTGAAAGTATCCTTCTGAGATTTTTTTTTAACATACGTTATTTTGTTTAGTTCTCACATTAACCCTGCAAGACAGGGATGAGCCTCTTCTATTACACACGGGGGGACAAAGGGTGTTCAGGGAGGTTCAGTAATATGCTCAGCATCACACAGCACATTAGTGACAGATCTCAGATAAGGGCCAGAGCCGGTTCACTCCAAAGTCACCATCTAGTCTACCAGATCCCTCTCATTATCTACAGGAAGGGGAAAAATTCACAACAGGTCTACAAAATTTATTTTTAAGCCACTCAGACAGTGAGTGGGGAACAAGCAGTCGGCAGGTTTTCATCAATGTCAAGGAGCGATTCCTACCAGCAGGTCCTTGGGCAACACTTGCAGTAGGTACTTCTGGGTTTACAACCTTCCCATCTCCTGGCTCCCCTCCTACCACCCAGAGCCTGCATTATCCCCTCTATCAGAGCTCCCTTCCAGCTTCTGGAGTTTTCCAGAACCCTGATGTGGTCTCCCATTCAGTGTTATAAAGACCATGTAATTGTAATAGTGTCTCCCCTACAAGAAAAAAAAAAATCTAGTAAAAGAGAGGCAAATGTCTCTTGCTTAAAAATGAATAAACATTTCCCTTCCCACCACCTACCTCTTATCAATAATTCCATTGCTTCCATATACATGGGCTCAACTTGTGAAATGACAGTAAAATGTTGTCTAAGTAAAGTAATTTGCACCACGCAAATGACAAATGGGTTCATCTCTTCAAAGAGAAATCTGTGTTTTAGAGCTTTCAATGAATTCTAATGCTGCATGGGGAATTTTATGAGCTGGCAGGGTTTTTCTAGATGTATTCCTTCCTGACTCGATCTTTCATCCCCCAAGCAGTGAAGGGACTGCTTACACAGGCATCCCCCACATGAAAGTCGTTCATATCTGGTCTAACATGACCAGGTTTTGACTTGGTGAGCCTTCCCATGGCTGTGGTTTCTCCAAAATAAAGAGATGTAATCTTTCCATGAATAATCTTCTACCGGGGAGTGGAATGATGCCAAGAAAACCCACTGGAGTCAAAGGCAGCTGTGAGATTTCCCCAAATTCCAGAAGAACTGAATGATGTAGTTTCCTCCCCAAATATTTCATTAATATATGTCACAAAACTTAAAAAAAAATTTTATGCAAAGTAGCCAAAATACTCTTTGTTCAGACATGCTACTTGCTTAGGATTGTTGAATAGCTGGAAAGTCCTGTCTTGTTTAGCATCGGAGCACACAACAGCCAGAGCCATAGCAACTCTGAGAAACTGAAATGTTAAACTTGACATTTACCTTTTTATTTGAAGAATAGTTGGTTTACAATGTTGTGTGAATTTCTGGTGTATAGCATAGTGATTCAGTTATACACATATACATTTTCCTTTTCCTATTCTTTTTCATTATAGGTTATTATAAGGTGTTGAATATAGTTCCCTCTATGATACAGCAAAAATTTGTTGTTTATCTATTTTATATATAGTAGTTAGTATCTGCCAGTCTATCCCTTCCCTCTCCCCTTCCCCCTGAGAATCATGTTTGTTTTCTATGTCTGTGAGTCTGTTGGTAAATAAGTTCATTTGTGTCATTTTGTTTAGATTCTGCATATAAGTGATACTGTATGGTAGTTGTCTTTCTCTTTCTGCCTTACTTCACTTGGTATGACAATCTCCAGGTCTATCCCTATTACTGCAAATGGCATTATTTTATTCTTTTTTATGGCTGAGCAGTATTCCATTGTGTGTGTGTGTATATCACAACTTCTTTATCCAATCATCTGTTGATGGACATTTAGGTCACTTCCATGTCTTGGTTATTGTAAATAGTGCTGCTGTGAACATTGGGGTGCATGTGTCTTTTCAAATTAGCATTTTCTCTGGATATATGCCCAAGACTGGGATTGCTGGATCATATGGTAAGTCTATTTTTAGTTTTTTAAGGAATCTCCATACTGTTCTCCATAGTGGCTGCACCAAACCACATTCCCACCAACAGTGTAGGAGGGTTCCTTTTCTCCACACCCTCTCCAGTATTTATCATTTGTAGACTTTTTAATGATGGCCATTTTGACCAGTATGAGATGATACTTCACTTTTGAGGCAAAAGTTACATAAAGTTTTCTTTTTCTTATTATTAAGAAATAATCATCTGTGCATTCAAAAATTCAACGGTGTATGTTCCAGAGCAGACCGGACAAAGACTCCTTTCCTGATGTGGAAGGTCAAGCTTGCTTCCTGTAATAGTTGGAAATGAAAAGAGGGAAAAATGTGAATAGTGGGCACAGGAAACAGGTATATGCAGGTAGAACCTAGGAAACACAGGTAGAAAACCCTGCCTTCTGCTCTTCATCACCTAATCTACATACTGATCAGTCACTGGCTCTGAAGGCACCTGCTCTAGGGATGAGCGATGTTAGAAACGTCAGAAGAGCAGAGTATTGCGGACTATCACTCGGAGCCTTTTCACACACCATACACTTCAGTACCCCCAGCCTCCTAACTATCTCTCAGTCATTACCAGGCCCTGTGTCCTTGGGCCTTTGCCCAAGCTATTTCCTCCTCCAGGAACACACTCACCCAACCCTCAATTTTCCTCCTGCTAATTAAGTGTTATTCATGTCTCAAGTCCCATCTCAAATGTAACTTTCTTCAAGATGCCTTTCCTGATCCTTCTCCAGGAGGGCACATTTCTTAAGCACTATCTTTGGATTTACCAAATAAGCCTTCTATTATAGTTATTTGTGTTTAGTACTTGTCATTTTCCCCCTACTAGAACTCCCACCAGGAAGGGAACCGTGGCTTCCCCATCCTTGCACTTGTGGTGATGCTTGGCACAATGTCTTGAGCACAGAAGATATCCAATAGATATGTTATTTAATGGAAGTATGGAGGAAACTATGGAGGGGAAAGAAGAGACATAATCCTAGAATAGTCCCTGCTTTCTCCCTTGGAAAAAGGAAAGAAAGATCTTTTTTAAACTCTTCCCATCTCCCAGGACTCTTGCCCTGTCTTGCTCTGAATATGAAATTCAGGTTATTCTTCTTGCATTTTCCCTTCAGTTAGTTGTGATCCTGAACAGAGGTGAGAATACTGGTCTAGAGGGACCAGGGTGGGCACAGGCTGGTGCTCACCATGCAGAACAAGAAGTAACAGGAGACTAGGGTTTGGATAACCAGGACTGTTTGTTCTCTCCCACATGAACTCGCTTGGCAGCCTTGCAGGTCAGTCTCTACATTGAAGCTTTATATCCAGTTCAAAAATATAATTCATTTGTGTCTTTTTGACATCTGGGGACCTCTAACAACAGATTCTAGCATCCTGTGGCTTTGTGGTCTCCTCTAGGCAATGGTATAGATCAGCCTAATTTTTTTTTCTAGAATACTGAAAAATAGGCCATTCTGTTTATTTGACTTATCAGGTTAAAACATAATTACATATATGGTATAGGAAAATTACCGTACTCAAAGATACAACATTCAGCAAGATTCAATGAACACTAAACATAAGATTAACACAATTTCATTTTTGTTAGAATGTCCTTGAAGATTTAAAAATAATTCACAATTAGTTACTATTATACAGGACTGTAAAAAAAATATCGAAATCTCTAGCATTGTGGAAAATGGTTGGCTTTTTTTTTTTAACATTACTCCAATATGATACAAAAATAATAGAAAAAACTAGCTTCCCCAATTTACACTACTTGAGGAATACAGTTTATGAAATATATGTGAAGATTATATTTATCTCATCCTGTTCTCTATATAATTTCACCAAGCTATTATTAATATCAATGTTATAGCCATATGTCTACATGTACTTCTTTAAAAAATCCACAATATGCATATAGAATACCATATTCTTGATGTGACAAACGTGAATTATAAATAAAAGCAACAACAATAACAGTCACACTGAATAGTTACTCTTTTCCAGGCACTAAATTCCTTACATTATCTCATTCTTTTTTTTTCGTTGCTATAATTAACTTTATTTTTTTAAATTGAAATACAGTCAGTTGACAACATTGTATCAATTTCTGGTGCACAGCATAATGTTTCAGTCATACGTGGACATATATATATCCCTTTTTATATTCTTTATCATTCATACACAAGATATGAATATAGTTCCCTGTACTACACCACAGAAACTTGTTTATTTATTTTATATATAGTAGTTAGTATCTGCAAATCTCGAACTCTCAATTTATCCCTTCCCACCCCTTTCCCCCCTGGTAAGTATAAATTTGTTCTCTTTGTGAGTCTGTTTCTGTTTTGTAAATAAGTACATTTGTGCTGGTTTTTTAGATTCCATAGATAAGTGATATCTTTCTCTTGCCGGCTTACTTCACTTAGTATGACGATCTCCAGGTCTATCCATGTTGCTGCAAAACAACCTAATTTTTTAACCCCAATCGAAACGTCATTTTAGGTAGCTCAGGAAAGATCCTCCCTGTTAAGTACTTTCACAGTGCCTGATTACCCTTGGGACATTTTATGTTTACTAATAACTCAGTAGTTCCCATTCCAGCAAGGGTGGACTCCCCCACGGAGCAGCCTCACCCAAGTCCGGCTGCCAAGGCTTCTCTTCCCACACCACCACTGCCCACCGGGGGCCGGGGCCAGGCCTTCTGTCCTCAAGGGCTGGTGCTCCCGAAGGACCTGAACTGCGGACAAGGAGGAGAAGTCAATTTGCAGCCGTGTGCAGTTTCCTTAAGACTTTGGCCCCTCTCCAGGGGTGGTGTGAGGTTAAGGAGAGGCTTGCCCTTGGCTCCCCTGCATCTGCCCTGGTCATTTCTGTGTAGTGTGTCCAGCACAGCCTCCCTCCTCTTCCTTCCCTCCCCGCCCCAATCCTGTGCGCTCTGCCAACCTTGGCTGCAGCCAGGTAACTCACTTTCAGTCCCCCTTTCTTAAGGCATCAACACCAGGGTAATCTACTTCCATTATCTCAAATCTAGCTCCGAAGTTGGAAACTGAATAGTACCTATTGCTTCCTCCTCGGCTGACCACTCCGGATTTTGTTAGTTTCCCAGGAACAAGCCGACTAGGGGCTCAGAGGGCAGAGCTGGGAGACCTGGGGGCCAGGGCTAGTGCTCTCAGACTCGAAGATGAATCCTTCCTCCAAGCGACTATGCCCAGGGGCACCTCCTAGACCAATCAGACCTGAGAAAGGAGGAATGGGTTTCTTTTTCCCTAGCCTGCCTACCCCCCAGCCCACCCCACCCCCAGCACACGCCTGGGTCAGGTTCTGAATAGCCCGGTCTCAGTATTTTTCTCTGTGAGTCCCTCTTCCCACGTGCCCCCTGCAACAAAGGCCTGTAGAGGAGACTCTGCCCCTTTCCTGTAGGTGAGTGAGAAGATGCCCAAACTCCCCACATCATTGCACTTTCGCCTATAAAACAAGTGGTGCCAAGTGACAGAGGATGAAACAGAAGCTGAGGGGACCTAAGACAATGTCTGCCTGCTTTGCAGTTTCTCCAGGGGCCTCCCTATATGATCCTCAACAATGTACCTTCAACTCTTCTCCAGTCACACTGGCAGGTGTGCAAGGAAGTGTCAATGCCTGGAAGCTCTGCAGACACATCTCCTGGGAATCCTTTCCGAGGATGGGAGGAAGGGTAGTAGATCTCTTCCCCATCCAATTCTTTAACCTGATTTTCTTCGGCAAATTCGCAAGTACAAAGGAAGAGGACAAGTGTAGCAGTTCAGTGCAGGGTCTTGAAGTCAGGGAAGTCTGGCTTCAAACTGTGACTCTGCGATTCACGAGTTTTATGGCTTTCAGCTTTCTTGGTCTGTCTTTCCTCCAGTGACTAATGGAGATCACATCGGGGCTGTGAAGATAGTACACCTCCTTAGCACCGTTTAGACTCAACATTGGTGGTCATTACCAGTATGGAGCAAGGTCTCAAGTCCACCTGGTAATATGTGTGAATGGCGCCCCCGGAACTGTGCCGGTCAGTGTGTGCCTGCAGCAGCATTTTATCTATAGCCCTGGAAGATGTAAGTAAAAACGAGGGTCTTCAAAGTCCACGTGAAGCAGAAGGTAGACAGCTAGTGGGAAATTCTCAGCAGCAGCAATTCCATTTCCAATTTTGCCTGAGTATAAATTTGGTTCAGGGCAATTCTGGAGCTAGAGAGAAAGTAATTCTTTTTTTTTTTTTCCTACATCAAGGGAATGTATGATACATTGCAGAACTTACTTAAAAAGGAGACTTGGTTTTTGATCCAATAAACACCTTGGACTTTTTAAAAGAACACTGTAAAAAATAGAAAGGAACTTTATTACTTCAAGTTCACGTCAGGGAACACTAACCAGAATTTCTGAGTGTGTAATGGGGTATTAGGCACAAATAGGAGGGATGTTATGCAGATTAGACATAATTAGACAGGATGATTAGACATAATCGTTGCCATCAAGGAGCTTCTAATATAAAGAGCAGCGATCCTTAACCTGAGGTTACAGTGAGCCTCAGAGGACTCGTGAACCTCCTGAAATTGTATATACAACTGTGTGTGTATTTGTGAGCAATTTCTGGTGAGCTTTCTTCAGATTCTCAAAGGGATCCACAAAAATTAAAAAAAAAGATTTAGAACTACAGATCAAGACAGAAGAATCATTTACTTGTAGCAATTTTCCTATGGAATGCCACAAAAATAGGCTATTCACAGTCATCTAATTCTGGGTTTCTCACTCTGGTTTAGATAAAGGACGAGCTTAATTCTCGGCCTGCGGAATCTAAAGATACCCTGGGTCTTTCATTCCTCTGTAAACATGTGATTTTTCAATACATTTGGATTTTTCAGAAATCGTTCACAAAACTTGTGCCAAGATCTATGGCCCCCTTGGTATATTCCTCGTGGGCTGCCGTGAGCCACACGATAATTTATGACCAGCCCGCTGTGTTGAGCCCTCCTCCCTGTATGACTAACAGGAAGAGAAGTTTGGCAGCCACACAGCCTTAATGAATGAAAAATGCAAACTCTGCAAAACCTTCTGCATTGAAATCCCCCGGAGTCTTGATGGAGACACAGTTCCAAAAAGCCTGCATTTCCAAGATGCAATTTACTGCCCTCAGAGGTTTGCTGTGGGCCACCCAATGTACATAGGCCCTATTCAAACAGATTTTATCAGCCAAGCAGATATGGTGATTTTTATGATAAAATGGGGAAATTTGTTGAAACGAGATGCTTCAGCTGAGCGCGAGAAGTCACGTCTTATTGATACATATTTCAGTCTGATTTGCACACAGGGTCAGGAGAGAGACTAAGCTCTGACTCCGCATTGCTCTGCTGCCTTCCACCACCGAATCTTGAAGAAGGAAGGAGACCCACAGCTGGTTTTACCCTTGGATGGGGTTTTCTTCATAAAAACAAATGGGTATTGAGGAAGAAGCTACCACTGAATTCTCACGGGGAGTAGCCTGGAATTTCCTCCCATTCGTAGACTTGAGCTCAGCGAGGTGAAGGCTCTGGGGAGGTGCTGGACACAGAGAGGCTGCTTCTTTGTTAGCATATGGAAGATTGGCTCCCCTGGGGCGTGGGGGTACTATTCACCCTAGAAATGGGATTTTATTTCCCACGCAGGATATAAGATATAGTGCAGGTCCAGGATCCATTATTCAGAACGCTTGAGGCCAGATGCATTTCAGAATTTGGAATCTTTCAGATTTTTAAAAAGTTAATCTGGGGCATAAACTGTACAGCTCAGAGAAGCTGTGGTACCAGCCCATAATCAAACAGATTCCATTTTTTCCTTCTGCCACCATTAAAGTTATTGATCGCGTCTCCCCTTGTGGTGCCAAGATGCGTCCAATGACTACAAGAATATTATTCTCATACAGTGACAAGCAAGAGAAGGGAGAGAAGGACATGGGTTTCTTATTATGGGAAAAAGTCTTTCCTAAAAGCCCCAAGGAGACTTTTCCCAGATACTGCTGCCCAGAACTGGGTCTGAAACGTAATCTAAAACAAATTCCAGGCAAAAATGTATTCTCTGCATTTGGGAGAGATCTATGCCCCCTAAGCACACTGCTGACAGAGCTGAACAGAAGTTTGGGTGCTTTCTCAGGGAACGTGGAAGGAGTAGCACTGGATAAGGCAACGGACGGTGACTACCACCTAGACTGTATCAGAGCCAAGGCAGGGTTCGAATTCCTAGAAAAGGAACAGGAGCAACTGCCTAAATGGCCTCTGATTAACGTCTGAGCCATCTGTGATGCTAATCTATGTGCCTCCTCGAAGAAGAGCCCTAAGAAGCTCCTGAGGACACTGAAACTTAGACCTGTGACTCAAGTACACAGACGAATTTTTATTGAAATAACCAGAGGTAATTAGTGTCCTATCTTAGAACTTGAAATTAAGGTATGGTGCTTTACTTGTAACACTATAAGGGAAGTGGATGAAGGTAGAGAAAATGAGAATAAGAAAATGGAAAATGAGGCAATAAAGAGACAAGCTATAGACCAGACCAGGAGATCAGCGAAGTATGGCCCTTGGGGTAAATCTAGCCTGTTGCCCTGTTTTCATAAATAAAGATTTATTGATACACAATCATGCTACAACAGTAGAGTTGAGGGATTGCAATGGAGACCATATGGCCTGCAAATACTGAACGTTTAGTATGTTGTCTTTTACAGAAAATAGTTAGTAATCCCTGAGCTTGACCAACTCACCAAAGCAAGGTGATAAGAGAACAAGTATAAGGTGACACTCTCCAATCTCAGGCCAGGGAAGAGTCCCAGAGGAGCTACCAGGGACCCCAATAGATGGGGCAGCATGGCAACAGGGGATCTAGGTTAAATGTCCTAAAATCTGGTCACAAGGCCATAGGCATCTGGGAACTTGCACGGCCGTGGTCACTAGGAAGAGGGAAACAGCCAGGGAAAGGCTGGATCCCAGAGCTCACCACAGGACTAAAGGATTAAACAGATGACTCGGACAGGAACTCACAATGAAAGCCAAAGTAGATGCACGGTTCTTCCAAATGGGCTTATGAACAAGGCGGGAGGGGGGAGGTGTTTGTGTACATAAACTCAAGAGTCTGAAGGCAACAACCCCATAATTCAAGTGAGAACCCCACAGATGAGCAACTACAAACCAGGAAGATGAGTGGGCAGCACAGATTTGTGACACAGAGCTCGAGCTTCAGTATTATACTTGCGATAAACCTACAAGAGAGCTGAATAGTCATCCTTCACTGGTTTGAGGGAAACCTGGGGCTATTGAAATGACTCTACCTGAAGTCAGAATTGTTCTGGGAGGCATCAGAACTGAGCCACGTGGAGAGAGCACAGCAGTTCATCTAAGTCACCAGGGGCAGGCAGTAGGGGCAGGGACAGCGGGCAGACGAATAAACCTAACGACTTCCACTGGGGGAAATGACTTCATACTGTGGATCTAGAATCACCACTCTCTGCCTTAGATAGCACTAAAGAAAACTGAACTATTTTTCAATTCTTTTTTCCCCCCAAGATTCCCTTTTATTTCTGTAAGTACAAACACATCAGCTGTATCCTTCTTCCCCATTCTGTACTTTAATGATGTTGTTGAAACATGAGGCAAGACTATATTTTAGGTTAATGTTTCCTGGTGGCAGCTGGAAAGGCACCTTAACATCAATATTAAAAATACTTGGAAATTACATTGTAGGCAGCGAATCCACCCGATAGTGTGAGAATTCTTACAGCTCTATCAAAGAGGGTGTGCCCTTCCAGGGGGCAGTGTCCTCGTCTCTTCCCGTTCTTCTGCACCCTGATCTCATAGGAAAGCTTCCCTAACCCTTAGAGATTTAGGTAAACTTGGTTTGAACTCCCAGAGTTACAGCTTGTATGAGACCAGGGCCTCCCAACATTTTCTCAAGTATTCCTGGCCTTTGAACCTTCTGGTTCCCTCTAGCTCGGCTCCTCCATCTGTTTCTGTAAGTTGAGTGTCATCCTGTTATGGGTTGACTTACATCTCCCAAGAAAATGTGTTACAGCTCTACCCCTGGTACCTCAGAACGTGACCTTATTTGGATATACGGTGTTTCCAGAGGCAGTCAGGGTGAAGTCACAAAGATGGGCCCTAATCCAATATGATGGTGTCCTTCTAAATGGGGGGAATTTGGATACAGGAACAGACACTCCCAGAGGGATGGAGAAGATGGAGAATGGCCATCTCCAAGACAAGGAATACCTAATGGTCCCAGAAGCTAGGAGAACGCCTTCCCCAGCACCTTCAGAGGGAGAACAGCCCTGCTGACACTTTCATTTTGGACCCCTGGCTGCCATAACCATGACAATGTGCTTCAGCTGTTTTATGCTACCGAGTGTGTGGTACAATTTTGCAGCGGCCCTCGGGAAGTAGTACACGTGCCCTCCAGGCCTGGGCTCAAAGCTCTGCCTCTTGCCTTGAAGCACCAACAAGTCTGCTCGTGCCAGGCCTCTCCCGGGTTTTCCCACTTTGGTTCCCCGTGTAACAGCGGGCCAGCCTGCACACCGCAGCCTCGAGCTCCCCACAGCCTCTCCCTCACACTGCACCATCAGAGACACCACACGCTACATGAAGCCGCCTGGGAGGTGTGGGCTGGGCCCCTGACCAGGCTCGTCTGCCTTCTCCACAGCTCCTGGAGTTCTAGAAAAGAAAACTTCTTCATATCATTTCACTATCATAAAGTGTAGTCCAGGGGTTTAGGGTGTCACTTAGATGTGCCCCTACAGGGCTCTGTCACTCTCAATACAGCAGAGCAGCAAGATCTAGGTGTAACAGTTAAAAGGCAGAAAGAGAAGGACGTCTGGGCCTTTCCTTTGACTCAGCATTGGCTTGACCAGATCAAGGGGCTGGGCCTCAGCTTTCCTTACAATAAACTCTCGGCGTGACCAGGAAGGTATAATTGTGACACTGGATGGCTAATCCAAGGGCCCTACTAAATCTGGAGTGTGAGATATAATTGCCAAATATACTGAGATGCTCAGGTCACCTCTAAAGAAAATTTCTCTTTTTTTCCCTCTCTAAATAAAATGTATTGAGATAGGGCAAACAATGATATGATGTAGGTTAGTAATAAGTATCAAATCAGGGTCATTGCAGGTAGCACACCCTGGTCATGGAGATCAAAATCATGAGCTCCCAAAAGCGAAGCCTCCTACACTGTTGGTGGGAATGTAAATTGGTGCAGCCACTATGGGGGACAGCATGGAGGTTCCTTAAAAAACTAAAAATAATGTTACTACATGATCCAACAATTCCATTCCTGGGTATATATCCAGAAAACACTCTAATTCAAAAAGATACGTGCACCCCAATGTTCATAGCACTATATACAATAGCCAAGACATGGAAACAACCTAACTGTCCATCGACAGATGACTGGATAAAGAAGTTATGGTATGTATATACAATGGAACACTACTCAGCCATAAAAAAGAATGAAATAATGCCACTTGCAGCAACATGGATGGACATGGAGATTGTCATACTAAGTGAAGTAAGTCAGAGAAAGACAAATACAATATGATATCACTCATGCGTAAAACCTAAAAAGAAGACACAAATGAACTTATTTACAACACAGAAACAGACTCACAGACATAGAGAACAAACTTATGGTGACCTGTGGGGAAAGAGGGTGGGAAGGGGTAAATCGGGAGTTTGATATTTGGAGATACTAACTGCTATATATAAACTAGATAAACAGGAAGTTTATACTGTATAGCACAGGGAACTATATTCAATATCTTACAGTAGCCTCTAATGATAAAAATATGAAAAGGAATATATGTATGTCTGTGTATGACTGAAACATTATGCTGTACACCAGAAACTGACACAACACGTAAATGGACTATACTTCAATAAACTGAAAACATGATCCAAAGAAAGAAAACAAAAAAACCAAAAAAGAACAAGTATGAGCTCCAGAGGCAGACAGACCGGGTTGGAATCATCACTCTAGCACTTACTGGGCGTATAACTTTGGACACGTTCCACAGCCTCGGTTTCATCATCTGTAAAATGAAAATAATAATGCTTAAGTCATGGGATTATTATAAGAATTACATGAGCTAATCATGTCAAGGGTTCAGCATAGTGCCTGATTAATCCTCCTAGACATTGTTACCCATTTAAAAGGGCCATCTCCCCAGGCTAAGTGGTTGGGGGTTGGGGGGTGGCTAGCTGTTGTCAGGAGTTGTGTTTGGTTGTTGACAACAGGAGCTTGGAATTATGATATAAACAAAACAGAAGATATATTCTCTCACTCTCCCCACCCCACCCCCGCCCCTCCCTCTCCAAGAAACCAGTGGGTGGCCCAGGGCAAGCATGGCAGTTCATAGTCATCAGGAACTCAGGCTCCTTACTCCTCTCCTCTGCTCAGTCCTCCTTATTATGTTGTTCCCTTCCTTAAGGTCACTTCACAGTACAAGAGGGAGCCCAGCCATTACGCCAGAATCAGAGACAGCTGTCTGTCTCCTTTAAGGAATCTTTTCAGAGTCAACTAACGACTTCTGTTCCCACTTCATTAGCCAGAATGTAGTCGGATGGCCGCACCTAGCTGCAGAGTGGGCCGGGAAAGGTAGTTTCGCAGCTGGGCCCCTTGCTTTTCCAAATCCAATTAGAATTCTCTTTGAGGATATAGAAGAGAATGGATTTCAATAAGCAGCTCTGGTCTCTGGAACAAGAACCCCTGTTCTTCTCCAATTTAATCTTCACACAGGCTTAGAGTTGGAAAGGACCTGGGGCTCTGAGGTCCATAGAGAAAGAAGGGTCTCTCAGAGAGGCCAAGAGAGTGCTGAATCCAGGAGACTGGCCAGGATCACCTTGGTCTAACAACCAAGGCAATTTCTGGAGACAGAAGAGGACAAGCTCTCAGGTGAAATGAAGGCCCTCATCGTTTTAGAGACTAGAGACTTGAATGAGTCTCAGGATCACTGCCCATTATAGAACAGTGCTTTTTCAATCCCTGAAAGACAGATAATGTAAAAATAACCCTGGACACGGAAACCTGGGTCTGAGGTCTGGCTCTATTGCTCCCTCAGTGTGGGGCTTTGAACAAGTCACTCTCCTCCTGGAGAGAGAAGCAGGGAAAGGAAGCTACATGCATATAGTGTCTATTATAAAGAAGCTTAATACTCCATATCATTCTGTCCTAACCATGGTGATGCAGATGTGCTTAACTCAGGGTACAGGAGAATCAACTGAGGATCAGAGAAGGTCTAAAATTCCTCAGTTGGTCTAGACCCTTAGGCAGACCTCTGGCCCCAACACTCCAGCCATATGGAAACCTCTGCAGTTCTTCAAATGTTCCACCCCATCTCTCCTCCTCACCTTTGCATGTACCACCCCCCCCTACTTGGGACACTTTTCCACCTCTTCATCTGGTGCGCCCCACCTCATCCTCCAAATCTCAACTGAAAATTCCATTCTCTCAACGAGGCTGTTCCCCAAACCAGACTAGGTTATGTTTCCTGGCTATACTTCTTCCTTCCTTGACTACTTCTCTTGTCGTAGTGCTTACCACTGGAAATGTTTTGTTTAATGACTGCCTCCCTCTCTGGAACAAGAACCAACCCCTCTTTACTGCTGTGGTCCTCGCTTCCAACAAAAAGCCCAGCCTATCTCAGGCACCTGAGAAACATTTATAAGAATGCGTGAATTGTTGAATTTGATGGCAGAAGTCTTTATTTATTGACATTACTGATTGATTGATTGAAGTCCCTATCTATCTATCTATCTATCTATCTATCTATCTATCTATCTACTTATTTATTTTCCATTTTAGAAAATACTGTTCCACATTTTTTAACATTTTTTATTGATTTATAATCATTTTACAATGTTGTGTCAAATTCCAGGGTTCAGCACAATTTTTCAGTCATTCATGGACATATACACACTCATTGTCACATTTTTTTCTCTGTGAGTTATCATAACATTTTGTGTATATTTCCCTGTGCTATACAGTGTAATCTTGTTTATCTATTCTACAATTTTAAAATCCCAGTCTATCCAGGGATAGACTGTTCCACATTTTAAAACTGTCCTCCTTACCTGGGATTCAAGGCTCTTCAGAATCTTTCCAGCCTTCTTTACCAATGGAACCTATTCTCACCTTCCTGCATCTGGGCTGTGAGGATAATTATCCTCTCCATCTGGGACATGAGATTCTGGCCTCTTATCTGCCCAAAACCTAACCACCCATCAAAGCCCAGCTTAGATTCAGCCTCCTCCATGGAGCCCACTCTGCCTCTACAGTTAACACGAATTTCTCCCTTCCCTGAACACTTCTCAGAGCCCTAAGAGCCTGTACTGGTAATTTTGCGCGTGGTGTTCATGGCCTTCTTGTTTAACAGTTGCATTTTTCAAGCATTCACCACTATTTTCTCCTGGGTTTTCCTACTTACTTCCTTTCCGTGCATCATCTAAGCACATAGTTAGACCTGAGCTCTGGTCACAGGGAAGGAAGCAGGAAAAAAAGAAATTTCTGTGTCTTATGTCCCATCAGTGAAATTTCCAGAGTGATTTTAAAAATGAGGTCCGAGAGAGGAAGAAACTAACAAAAGATTCCCCCGAGCTTAGGGGAGAGGAGTAAGGAAGGCAAGGTGCTAAGCCAAGAGACAGCAGTGGATCCCAAGGTGTTTCTCCACCTGTTTTAGAGCAGAAGCCTTGCGGGGGGCGTGGTGGGGTGAGACCTCTGAGAGCTGTGCAGCCTGAAAGCAACAGGCACCTGCAGGATGCTTACTGGACAGAGCTCCAGGGAGACTTAAGACCCCAGAGGAGCTCTCTGCACGGTGTCTGAGCAGATCAAGACCCAAACATCACAAATATTCTTAACCTCAGCTTGGCAAGAAGGAAATCGAATAATTCCTCAGCCTTCCAGGGATAGCAGGAGAGTATAAAAGAGATTTACAGGACCTAAAGGGACCAGGCAGAACTTTTAGAAATGAAGGACATCTTAGTGGCAATCTCTATGCAAAAGCAACTAGACTGGAGGATGTCGCATGGACAAACCATTCAAGGACCAGATGGACCCTTTCCCAATACCTTGGCACTAGCTATACCTTCTAAAGTTTAGATGACTTGGAGATTCACCGTACTAGATCATAAGCTTCTTGATGGCAGAGCTATCATAAAACTTCATAAAATTTCTTTTTAGTATCTCTTCACTCACTGGTGTCTCTTACAAGAAAGGTAAATGAGTAAGTGAATAAATCGTGTTCCCTAGAAGAAAATTCCTGTTCTTTTTTTCCCCCTATTTTTTTAAATTGAAGTACAGTCGATTTATAATGTTCTGTTAATTTCTGATACACAGCATAGTGATTCAGTTATACATATATGGATATTCCTTTTCATATTATTTCCCATTATAGGCAATTACAAGGTATTGAATATAGTTCCCTGTGCTATATACAGTAGGACCTTGTTGTTTATCCAGTTTCATGATGATTTTCCTTGTAGTTCCACTTGTACAAGATCCACTGAATTTCAGTATGTATTCTGTGAGAACTGTCCCACTGGTAGGTGTATTTTTGATGTATCTGCGGGAAAAGGTGAGCTCCACATCCTTCTATTCTACCATCCTGAAGGCCCTCCCAGGAAATTCCTATTCTTAAGCTGGAGTTTCAAAGAGATACATTCCTCTAAGCCCACCAACGATACTCAGAAGTCCAGGTTACTGCACATGGAAGAGAGGAACTTGGGGAAAAAATCTACATTATCCTACTGCAGAGATAAAGGGATGTCAGCACTGAGAAGTCCCACGGCTTGCTCTATGAGCAGGGGCTGGTGAAGAGGGATCTGGGGCCACCTCATCACAGCTGTGTCCTCGTTACGGACCACTGAGGCCATGGAGCTCTTTGCAGCGATGATCATCTCAGGTAGACCTCAGAACTCCTACTTCTCTTACAGGCACTAGAGGAAGGGATTAAGTGTCTTCATCAAATGTTCTCTGTCTTTCTATCCTGTTGGCAATGTATAAGTTTCTATCAATTGACTGAAACCTTTTATTTACATATCTAAGTGCAGGGATAAAAGAAAAGAGAAAAAATAAAGAAGGATCTTTGTTGGAGATACATTAGTGCTTACGTTTAAATGACCTTAGTGAAAATGTTTAAAGGAAATCCTGAGAAAGTATGAGCAGGTTGTAAGTTTCATACTCCACTACAATTATTTGTGAAATAATTGCATGAAAATTCTTAAGGTATGAAATAAGAGAATAAAACATTGACTAGAAGGCAGTGCCATTATTGGAAATCATGACTAGTGTCCAGATTTTAAACATCTCAACTTCATTTTTATTGACTCAACATGGCTTACAATTACAATAAGATAATAACCATGGTTTTTGTTTTGGCCTTTGCTCATTGCCAGTGTCAACTTTTTGTCATGCAACTAACAATCTGAAGATCATTAAGCCCTTATCCAGGAATTCAGGGATGTAACCATTTCCAGATAAATATGTCATTGTTTTTCATTGAGGAAATCTCTGGATGTCACATTCTCATAAAAAGAAAGAAAAGAAAAGAGAACATATAATGAAATCTATGGCTAAATCATTAGTTATAATTTGTGCAAAAGAATTTTTTACAATGAACATAGGTAGACATTGGTTTCTGGAAACCATACTTTTTAAACCAGGGGGGTTTGGAAGTCAGAGGCAAAAGCACTGACCGTGTAAGTATCCCCATCCCAGCAAAACACAATTGGAGTCTCCTGTGCTTGCACCTGGGCTTCTAGTTGCTATGTAGATTTGGCATCTCCTTTACTCTCATGCTTCCTGAACTTGGCTCTTTGTAGACTTTTTAAAATACATATTTTTATTGAAATATAGTCAATTTACAATGCTGTGTCAATTTCTGGTGTACAGCACAATATTTCAGTCATATAGGAACATATATATATTCGTTTTCATATTCTCTTTCACCATAAGTTACTACAAGATATTGAATATAGTTCCCTGTGCTATACAGTATAAACTTATTTACCTATTTTTTATGTATTAATTAGTATCTGCAAATCTCAAACTCCTAATTTATCCCTTCCCGCTCCTTCCCTCCCAGTAACCATAAGTTTCTTTTCTACGTCTGTGAGTCTCTGTTTGTAAATAAGTTTGTCTGTCTTTTTTTTTTTTTAGATTCCACATATAAGTGATATTATACGGTATTTTTTCTTTCTCTTTCTGGCTTACTTCACTTAGAATGATGATCTCCAGGTCCATCCATGTTGCTGCAAATGGCATTATTTTATTAATTTTTATGGCTGAGTAGTATTCCACTGTGTAAATATACCACGACTTCTTTATCTAGTCATCTGTCGATGGACATTTAGATTGTTTCCACACCTTGGCTATTGTAAACAGTGCCACTATGAATATTAGGGTGCAGCTTTTTGAATTAAGGTTCCCTCTGGATATATGCCCAGGAGTAGGACTGCTGGATCATATGGTAAGTCTATTTTTAGTTTTTTGAGGGCTCTCCATACTGTTTTCCATAATGGCTGCACCAAACTACATTCCCACCAGCAGTGTAGGCTCTTAGTAGATTTATCAGTTTCGCAGTACCCTGGTCTTCAGTGGCTTTGTCTATGGTGCTGCCTGGATCAGCATTTTCATCAAGCAACTTGGAGGAAGGCGGAGGTAAAGGAGAGGGTGGCTCCCTGGTGATCAAGTCAGTGATGCCAGTGAAGTAGCAAAGGTCATTCACTCTTGTAGACAAGACCAGTTCTAGGCTGAGTCCTCTATCAGGATAACTGGGTTTTCCAACCTGCCCTCTTGTCTCACTGAAATTTGTATCTGCAATTGTCCCGAGTACCAATTATTCCATTTGGTTTGTGATTCAGCTTTGTCCCTGGCTACAGATTTCTGAAACCCCCTACAACTTATCTCAGTGCCTCTCACAAGAATATCTGTTACCGGGTCAGCTCTCTGACTATAGTCCTGCCTTCTAGATATTGGTGAACATCTGATACTCAACTGAGACTCCAGTCACTGACTGAGTATCCCCCCAGACTGGATTTCAGACAAGTCTAATCATGCTAAGGTACAATATAGCAAAGTTTTCAAATCTGTAGATGTCACGAAGCCAGGAGAGATGGCGAATGTGATGGATACTTTTAAAAGCTCTGAGAGCTTGGGAGCCTGGTTCAAGAGGAACAAAATGAGATTTTAAACAGCCATGCATTTGAGTTCCAAATACCATTTCATAAATATAGATGATGGAAAAAACGGCTGGACTATTTTAGGTGAAAAGACCGGGGTGATTTTGTTGATCATAAGCTCAGTGTGATGTGACTTAGCTGCTCTAAAAGCTAATCCTCTTGTGGGCTGCATTAATAGGATTGTGTCCAAATCACGCAAGGCAATAATCTCCACAGACTCACCTTCAACTGGTCAGGCAACAGCTGACTACTCCGTTGTGACCTCCATTCTACAAGGGGGTTATTAACAACCACAGACAGTTTCTGGGGAAGCAGACCAGGATGGCGAGATCGGGGCTTTCCACTGCACAGGGAATTGTTGGGCCAACTGTTTATCTTGAGTGGCTCTATATCAATTAAAATTCCTCTGGTTCAACAGAAAGCTCGGCTAGCTTAGGCAAGAGGGGGTCAGGAAATGTAATGATATAGACAAG